AGGACCGTACAACATATGGATATATCCTTTGGCCTAAATAATAAAACGTAACATTTTCGGATTTGACGAAACCAAAGTCAACTTATTTAATTCTGATTGAAACATTCATTATGTAAAAATACCGAATAATGCAGCCTATAACCCTAAATGTACGATAAAAACCGTTAAATATGTTGGCGGAAACATTATGGTTTGGGGATCGTTTTCACACAATTGTCTGGGCTCACTGCATAGGATACAGGGAACTACATATGAAGGCAACCGATTGTGTGGCAATACCACAAGAGTTTATGCTATAGAACGCTGAAGACAGTATGCCACTTAGGTGGATATTTATGCAGGACAACGACCCTAAAAACACGGCTAAGTATACAAAAGATTGGTTTAAGGTCAATAAAGGAGTGGCCACCGCAGTAGCCAGATCTTATATCCATTGATAACTTGTTGAATACAGTGAAAGCGTCGTTAAGAGGAAAGTGCCCAAGTAATAACTAAGAGCTTTTTCAGCTTTTCAAAATTAATCGAATGCAATTCCAAATTTTCGTCTGCCTAAATCTAGTTGACTCTATGCCGATGCGGTGTCGATAAGTTTTAAAGAACCATGGATTTTCAACAAAATATATAAACTACTTAGAAATTGATATTATCGCAATTGAATGAAAATCAGTTACTTTTTTTTTTATCTAATATGGCATTTTTATAGTAAACTAGCTGAGCCCGCAGTCGTTGTCCACGTGAAATTTTGTGTGTTTCAAATGAAAAGAAAGTTAAATTATCATTTAATTTTGTTTTTCAATATAAAGCAGCTTGATAAATAACATTTTTTGATTTCTGTTCGGTGTACAAAAAAGATGGTTTTTCCAACTCGTGAGCACGCCACGTATATCTGGAAGAGTGAAAAACATAGCATTTTTAAATTTATGCCACACACTATGCGACTATCCCTGTGTCCTGTTGATTGTCATCTCAAATCCAATTTTCAATGGCAAATCGTTAGAACTCAAGGGAATTCGTAGAATCAAGCAAGCCCGCCTCCCTTGTATTCGATAGATGCGTATTTTTGCTAGCTAACATTGCGCGTGCACGTAAGGAATCGTAGTTACGATAATTTGGCCGGTGTCCGAACATTCGCGATGAGTTCATCTTTCGTGAATTGATAAACGGAATTGATATCAAACCACCGGAAGTATAAACCGGAATTGACTCCTTTCCAATTTTTTGAGAAGACGATTTAAAATGTCTTCGGCAGTGTCATTTTTGTCGTATCCCATAATTGACGCGGATTTAAAGGCTGATATGTCGAAATTATTATCGCGAAAAATGTGCAAACTTCACTTGCATTCCAGTGATGAATATGTTACAGCAATTTTAATTGATGGATTACTTCTCCAAAACTTGCACACACCTTACAATTCACAGTACGCAATGATTCAAATGAAGTTGAACCGCGTACATTAATCAATAGTAACCAAAGGTAGAAACAATCGTCGTTTTTCGGGTGGATTGTGTAAATTCGACCTAATGTATTGGTCGATAACACACCTGGATGTCCATCTACTGGTTGGCCTTGCGAAAGATTTCTTGAACGTTGCATGCCATGCATAATATCAAGGTATTTCTGAATATAGCAATGTTTTTGCAAACGGATAACGGACGAAATTAAAGAAATAATAATGTTAGGTTTKTTGCTGGCGGTGTTTCTACTGGCTCTATTGTATTCTCTGGGTTGAAATACACTTTTTGTTCAATCTCCTAATTATCTGCGAGACGCACAACAAGCAGAAAACGTTCATGAATTGCAAAAGTACATATCCTTCAAAGYGTTTTATTGCAGTTCACGTATCGATCGTATCGTTCAAGACCAATAACCGCCATGTTGTTTCCTTTGGTAATTCCAAACATATTTGATCGATTACACCAAACTGCAATACTAAACATTTATATGAGTTTTGGATGTGAGTTAGACAATAATGGTGAATATAGTACGATCCATATGTTGTCAACTTTGATATTCACACTTCGAAATTGAATGGTAAATGTTCTGCCATTGTCATCTGGTGAACGACGCCGATAGAGTAGATATCCATCATTTCTAGTTTGTGCTACCGAAAGAAAAGCACGTGGATTGTGTTTCGTGCATTCATTGTCAGACATATGTACAAACCGAAGTGGGATTRTGGTAGCTGCAAGGTCCATGAACCATATTGGTTTTCACCCCTTCGTATAATACTGGATCTTTCTCTGCATCAGGAATTTCCACAAAAATGAGTACATCAATTTGATCTGGTGTAACCACCATCCACCATCCAAAGAAGAGTGTGTACGTCCGGCAAACCCCTCTTTTGCATCTAACAGCACCACATATACGTTGCTTCAAGTTAATTTCCTTCAGACTTCACTTCACTTATTTCATTGAAACCTATCTTAAATTTAAACTCTAATAGCAAAATTTTTGTTAAAATCCATTTTTGTTTTGAAAATCTTAATAAAAACATGTGGAATCAACCTTGTACACGACAACTAATTAGAAACGAAAATATTCATATCAACAAAATATAATGATATTACAAACACTTCCTTACTTTCAGAAGCTACACACTCTTATTTCATCACCAAGAACATCTCTATTTGGGATATTTTTGGTACATATGGCTCTTTGAACATCACCCAGAGATGTTCTATAGGATTTAATTCTGGGTTGGACTATTCCCACTCCAAAACATTGATAGAATTTTCATAAAAAAATTTTTGTGTTAACATTTTTGTGTTGACATTTTTTAGGACGTCGACGTATTGCTCCTTGTTTAAAATTCCATCAATCCTATGGAGTGGATCAACACCATTCCAAATAAAACATCCCCACACCATGATTGATCCTCCACCATGCTCAACTACGCGTTGAACCTAGCGAGCATCAAATTCTTGAATTATTGGACGGCGAACATACCTTCGACCATCAGGTCCCAAGCGATTAATTTTTGTTACATCATTCCAAATAACATACTCCCGTAGATTTGTTGTCTTAGACCAATAAGAGCAAAAGTCTACGCGTCGTTTTTACGAATTTTAGGCAGAAGTGAGTTCCTGCGTGCTGCCCTGCTGTCAGTGAAACTCCTTTTTTGTGTCTCATAAGGAGACAGTAGTAGTTCTGCTGTATATTTCTGTTGAAGTTTTTCGAGTTTTTTCTTTTGCGCGCAATATTGAAAATAATTTTAAAACTCTGTATATGCTAAATGTCATTGAAAACAATTTTTTGAGCGTTGGACTTTATTGGAAATTTCTTTGCACATCTTTCTAGACCGACGAAGGTCAAAAATGTAGGTGCGAAGGGAAGGTGCACAGCTGCAACTTTTCTTCATTAAAACTTGAATAAAACATTTAAACTACAACTTTGACACATCCTCAATAGAAATCAATAATATTGCTAATAAAAATTAATACCACAAGGAATTTTAATTCTTTAAAAAACTGTTTCTACTTAGCTGTCGCAGTTTATTCACCTTCTATATAGTAACGCATTTACTATTTTGGAAAAAATTAAAAGAAGTTTAGTTTCATAACTACAAAACAGAGTGACTTCAGTAGTAGGTAGACTAACACGAACTATGGCAAACTTTTAGGAATATAATTAACGGCAAAAAAGGGAGGGTTTCTAATTAGCTGTCAACAGCTGTATGTCATCGCATCCTGTTAGTATTTCTTGGGGCTGCCATACGTTGATGGTAAGAAGAACGCTGACCGATATTAGGGCGACCTCCTTCGTGAATTCGTACCAAATTTCAATCTGCAATTGATCACATTGTGTAAAAYACACATATTTAAAGTTTTCACTGAATAATTTTCAATAATTTTTCTTTTGAATATCCGGATTAAGAACGACCGAAATTGAAAGATTTAAATAATTTACAAATCTAAATATTGAAAACCAAACCAAACAAACTTTGAAAAAAAATGTGTATGGAAACAAGTTACCTTTTTGGAATTGTCCAATTTTCCGACTTTTCCTAATAAAAGTATAAGGTATTTTTATTTCTAAACCTTCCCCGATCCACAACGAACAACCTCTGAAAATTTCAGCAAGATTGGTACAGCTGTTCTCTTAGCGTTACTAACCAACAAACATTAATTTTTTTGTATGGGAAAAAGAAAAGGGGTTTTTTTAGGGGTTTTCCGACAATTATTAAAAGTTTTCTTGCCGTAAAAACCATCCTTGAACATCAACGAACATTTATAAAAAAGAATTGGCCAAATTGGTCCAGGCGTTGTTGAGTTATGCGCTTAGCAACACATTTTGCGATTCATTTTTATACATAAGACTACGAAGTGTCCTTATTTTATTCACATGTTAACATCGGAAATTTGAAAACAAATGCAAATGAAACACAAGTGTTTGCAAAATACGGGTAAAATTGAAAAAAAAAAAAACTTGTCTTTAGTTTGTTCTCAATTAATTTGATTGGTTAATTGCCGTTGATTCCCCCACATTTCTAGATAAACTTTAATTTCATTAACCGCATACCACTGCCCTTATTATTTTTACATAACTGTATGGTTTTAGAGTTGTCTCCCTTATAAATTCTTCGGCTTCGGATTGGTTGATGGTTATGGGTTGTGGAGACATACAGTGTTTGACTTACTCTGAGCACACAGTAAGAGAGCTCAATGCTAGAATTCTCGCTCTGTTTTGGAGTGAAACCTGGAAACAAATTAATGTATGGATGCCATAGGCCAAAAAAAAGTCAGTTCGTGATAAATAGGGCAGGGGTTTACTAGAGTTGTGTCATTAAATTACCTTCAAAGTATCACAAAGTTATCGAACAAAATGTTGAATATTAGGCGCCTAATATGCAATATAATAATTTACGGTTTAACCGAATGATCGAACCGAATGAATGTTGAATTTGTTAATATATTGTTCAATTAATCAAAGTCAGCCCCACCCCACCTATAATTGACTTCAACTTTGTTRCTTGTTATTGATCTTTTTATTTAAAGAACAGGTTGCTTTGGAAAAAGTCTTATGTGCCTCTATGCGAAATTCTGGAAATTATTCATTAGTGCTTCGGTTGCTAAATGGGATCAGCAATGAACGGACGAATAAAAAAACTTGCCTTTGGACTTCAATACTTTTAAAGCTATATGTGTCATGCAAAGAGAGTCGGGATGCCACCCAAATGCTTGCAATTCTTGGTATATTTTATAATTTGATTGGTGTAAATTAAGTTTTGATCAACACATTTTTTTCTAGGCGTACTTGCTAAGTCGGCCTACACCTCAGAGGAATCTCGGAAAATTTTTGGTTACAATTACGTCAAGAATATTCTTGAAATAATAAGTAAAAATTTTTGCTCCCCTGCAAATAATTTGGCGGTTCTTCGTCTTATGGTTATTCTGTTACAATTTTACCCTGAATGCAGTGTTCAAACTAGTGGCATAGTTAAAGATTTTGTGTCTCAATTTATGGATTCCCCCAATCATAATGTAATGGAAAGTGCTGCTAAATGTTATCATCATCTGCTTTCTATATCGAAATATGGTTCGAATAGAATAGCAGTGAAGGATCTTTGGAAGACGTATCAAGAAGCACTCTTAGATATGTTGCAAACGTTGGCGGACTCATTTTTAGGAGTATTAAATTCTCCAGTGATTGAACCTATTAATTGCGATCCTTTGAATATTCCCATGTTGAAACTTTGTGATGATCCAATAAAAAGAATTTCACAAGTTTTCATACGCTTYAAAAATGTGGCGGTATATTTTATTGTGACATTACGGTAAATGAATGAGTTACCTAATTTTTTAATAATTGACCTAATTATTATTTTTAAAAAGGGAACCATTTTTAAGTGAAAAACCTGTCAACACAAACAAAATCTTTGGAATTATAAAAGGTGCCTTGAACGTTGTTCATTTATTCACATACAGAAAAAAAACAATTATTGGTATGATGCGTAATCTACTCCTACCTGAATTTTATTTCATTCTGTTACAAATTTTGAAGGCTTTAATGATAACGTAAGTAGAAATGAAATTATAGTAATGCTATACTTAATTATGTATATATTTTTAGATTAAAAAGCAATTTAAGAAAGAATTATAAACAAATATGGATGATTTTGGGAGATATGCTTAAACTTAGTACACATAAAATCGTAATTGAACAAAAAAAAACTTATATGTAAGTTAAACTTTACTTTTAAATTCGGCAATAACTGGTAATAAATAAATTTTTCTTAGGCGTTTAAATGGGAAAATATTCGATGTCATTACTTTATGGTGTAAAATTGTTAATCAAGGTAGTCGAAGTGATTTATTGATTAACTTAATGCTGAAGGATATGCAAGATATATCCTCTACTTTATCGAAGGTAGGTGCACAAAATGTTAATAAGATGGATATAAATTCGGGCTTACCCTGCGAATTATGATCTATTGCGCTCATCTACAGACTGATGTGTATTCTAGAAACAGGTCTTCAGAAGTTTTTGGCTGGCTATTTGCATATGCATACATATATTCAAGGGAGTATAATCTCATTCTGGTTTATAGATGTTTCTCACTAATGCAGGTACATACATGAGTAGGGTTTCTCTCTTATAGAGATACGCAGCAATAAAAATACGCAGCAAGTACGAATGTAGTAAATATGTATGTAATGTGATATGCATAATATGCAGATATATATTATGTACATATATATTTTTAATATATAGGGTTTATATTACGTTCATTCGTATCCGAAAACAGCGTAAACTGATTTTATACAACAGGATCAAGTGTGCTGCTCATTCACTCCTTGAGGAGCAGTTTCATCAGTCAGTTCGTTACCGGATTCAGATAATTAAAGGGGGTCGATCTGATTTATATAATCTTAGAACCTTTTGGCACATGGTATAACACACTGGATCTACTATTTGCATGGTTAACAGGGGCAGTAAATTACTCGTGMAAAAAAAAAAATAAATAAATAAATAAAATAAAATAATAATAATTCTTACATAAACAGAAAAACAGAAATACTTAACAAAGTTACAGTTAAAGAAAGTAAAAATTGCACAAAAGGTTTTTATTACATCACTAAAAACTAAAATAATTCAAAATACTTAGTTTCATTTATAATATTAAATACTCAATGTATATGGTTCAGTTTAGTCTTAAGTCAAAATTGACTTTGACAAGCGCCCTTCAAAATATCTTTAAAGCAAAATAAATATTATTAACAAGGTGCGTGAAATTCTTTGATATTATATTTACCCTGGTTAATACTTTGTGGAATAAACGTTATTCCTAATCACCGCTTCATAGCTGGGTACAGGTTTATTGCAGGAAGCAATTTAATGTAGCTAAACTATCCCAAGAAGATGAGGAACCGGCTAATTATTAGCAAGCAAGCAAAGCAAAAAGAGATTTTTGGAAACATCTATTTAACGGTATCGAGGCTAGGGCAGAAAACTCTCGGTACAGACGGTGCTTAATATTCGAAAGCACCAGAAGCCAGGCCGTATTTGAACGGTTTTCAGCTCTGAAAACCATATGGATGAGCGCACACAATTCCATTCCGATATATATATAGTGTCACAAAACAATGTATATTTCTGCGATAGGCAGTTTGAAACCATTCAAATATATACATATATTTTTTATATATCGAAAAGACTTTTCGTATTTTGTTAATACATGACTTGCAGGTGAGATTTTAGACTTCATTTTACGAAAAATAATAATTTCGGAGAATTTGAAAAAAAATTAGAGCTGTTTAAAATTGAGTGAAAAAAATTAAGAATTTCGATTTTTTGAAATTTGTGAAGTTTATGGATTCGTCGCGTTTCGCTTATTTAAGGAGTTTTCCTGTCGTCTATGGCGGACTGTCTGTCCTAATACTCGTACACCAAGCTTATATTCCATTTGTGCTCTAATTTCGCTCGACGTCTAAAAAGGATCCACCTTATTCAGCTTGGCGTCGCTAGGAGTTGTCTTTCAGTTTTTTACGGGGCAGACTTTCAAAAGACATGCTTTTTTTTTTTAAATATTGTAAAGCCTTTTTAACTTTTCCCTACAAAATGTTAAGTATTCAACTATTTTCGCAATATTTTTGAACTTTTGGTGACATTTCTGTATACCTCTTCTTTCTTTTAAGAGCCAACATTAAATTTTGTTTTAAAATTGGTAAACATTTTACTTAAATGCTAACTTCCATCGAAACGGTGCGAGAATTCATCAAAAATCAGCCAAATCATCATTGAAATTCATCGAAATGGAATTGAACATCTCTATTAAATCGATTTATCGTATTTTGACCGAACATTTGGGCTTATTCGAAGTGTTTGGCCCCAATATTGCGAAGATTAAAGTTGGCGTTCGTTGCGATAATGCGTCGTGTCATCGATCGACGCTTGTGATCGATTAAAAATCAAATTTTTACCATTAACCACTCATTCACCTGATATTGCACCGTGCGATTTCTTCCTTTTCCGAAAAATGTATTTACCCATAAATATGTCTCGAATCATACGTAGATCCGGCATACTGGYTGTCCTAGGCCGTACCGACCAACAGCTAAAACACTCGTTCGACTTGCTTTTGGACCGTGCAAACAGCTATGTATATTGAAGTAGAAGGAGACTATTTTAAATAAAATAAATCAATTTTGCCGAAAAACCCATTTTTTTATGTCCTGTTTACTTTTCAAAGCACTTTGTATATACGGACAATTCGGGGTGAAAATTTGAAATCCGGGTGACTGTTTGTCCGTCCGTCCATCCGTGCATGCTGTAATTTGAGACATCTTGATGAAACTTTGTATGCGGGTTTCCTAGAACAAAAGAAAATTACGAGTTCGTAGATGGCCCCGCCCACAAATTGGCATTAAACCAAAACCTATAAAATGTAATTTTATACAGGGGATAGCAGTAGCAAGGGGAACGTGTGGAAAAATAATTTAGAAAAGTGGGCGTGTCCCCTCCCTCTAATAAGTTGAATGCACATGTCTTCTAAACTAATAAAGCAACAACTAAATTTGCTGAGCGTAAATATTATAAAAAAATAAAATAATTCGAGCTGCAGAACTAAATAGAGAAGGTGCTATCTYCTATAAGATTGAACAGCTGCTGGCGTATGCCGACGATATTAATATCATTGGCCTCAACAYCGCGCCGTTAGTTCTGCTTTCTCCAGACTGGACAAGGAAGCAAAACAAATGGGTCTGGCAGTGAACGAGGGCAGTCGTCTCACTCGCGACTTGGCTCACACGTCACTGTTGACAGTCAACTTTGAAGTCGTAGATAATTTCGTCTATCTAACCAGCGTAAACACCACCAGCAATGTCAGCCTGGAAATCCAACGCAGGATAAATCTTGCCAACAGGTGCTACTTCGGACTGAGTAGGCAATTGTGAAGCAAAGTCCTCTTGACAAACAAAAACCAAACTCTATAAGTCACTCATAATTGACGTCMTGCTATATGGTGCAGAGGCTTGGACGTTGTCACTAACTGATGCATTGATAACATTGCACATGATAACATTGCGAGTTTTCGAGAGAAAAATTCTGCAAAAGATTTATGGTCCTTTGCGTGTTGGCCACGGCGAATGTATGAGATATATGACGACATTGACATAGTTCAGCGAAAAAAAATTGGAAGGACCAGGTGGAAACGGACCTGGATAAGCTTGGAATATCCAATTGGCGCTCGGCTATAATCRCATAAGCGGTGTATACGCCAATTAAGAGAAGAAGAAATATTATAAAACTCCTCCGCCCACTTTCAATATAACTACTAAAAGCGCAATAAATCAATAACTAATTACACCAGAGACATGAAATTTTTGCTCCGAGTTTGTGAGAGAAGGCTTTATGGGACCTGGTGTGAAAATTGGACGATGAACGTGGCACCGTCCACTCTTTTCTGAAATCACATATCTCTGGACCCGATCGACCGATGTCGACCAAATTTAGTACGCTGCATTCCTCTCATATTCCTGTTACACAGTGTGAAAATGGCTATCGATCTACAACCACGCCTACTTCCCATATAGCACAGTTTTAAATTCCACTTGATTCTCTCACTTTCCATTACATAACTTAGGAAGTAAATATTATAACGGGATGTAATTTCGCACGATTAATTTCTTTAAAGTATGCCACCTTATGACTGAAAACTTTACAAATCAAAGAAAAACTGTTCAAGCAATTACTATAGATACCGAATATTTGGCCCTAGTATCTATAGATGAATGTATGGGATATACAATGAAATTAAGGGAGTAATCTTTTCTGACAATAGTAATTCTGTGTATCYAAAATGGGTTGAATCGGGTCAATACCGCCCTGAGCCCTCATATACTTAATAAAATGATTTTCAAACTTCTACGTGACTCTATGCTGAATATATTATAAAAAAATKTTTACTCATAACAATATGTCTTTGTGCCTAAATTAGCTACAATTGGGCGAAAACCTAATGCTGGATATGAATGTTGATTGTTTGTGAGGTACCTTGATGAAACCTAGGGAACATTGTTTTAGTATGTGGCATGATATTAGTTAAATGGGAGCCTAGTTTAGAGAATTCAAAAAATCGGTTTTTAGTGGATTTTTTTGGGAAGGATTAATTGATTAAAGCGAAATTTCTAGGGTTTATAGTTATATACGAAATCTTTGATATTCTGCCTTTGGGTTGCATTTGCCCGAGGCATCTCGCATGTGCATTTGTCGGATGGCGGGCAGGATGCACGTTACCGTTCACCACTAGACCCATTCGCTTCGCTGCCTTATCCATTTTGGAGGAAACAGAACTAACGGCACGGTTGTTTACGCCAATGATATCAATATCATCGGTATACGTCAGCTGCTGTACACTCTTATAGAAGTTGGTACCTTCTCTGTTTAGTTTTGCAGCTCGAAGTTGTCTAAAACGTTTGGTATAAAACGGCTCGGAGAGGTCCTTCCCGGTCCTGACGGCTTACACAGCCATTTAGTTTTGCGGGGACACCAAAATTAGTCATCTTGTCATAAAGGCAGCTCGTTTTCGTGATGTCAAAAGCTGCTTTGAAATCGACGAAGAGGTGATGCTGTCGACTCTCTTTTCACGGGTCTTTTCCAAGATTTGGCGCATAGTGAATATCTGATCAGTTTTTAATTTGTCAGGTCTAAAGTTAAACTGATAAGGTTCAATCAGTTTAATCAACTGAGAGTACCGGGTCTAAAAATTCCCCAAAAGGTTTGCGGTGCCACGCCCATCGTAAAATTTTCACATAGATTCCAATAAAGCTGTTTCTTTTGGTGGTAAAATTTAATGTCTGGCGTATTTAGTTATTGATTTATCGACCTTTTAGTAGATTTTAATAATACCGTTATATGGGGAGTAAGTGGGGTTATCTTCCGATTTCATCAATTTTCACACTGTTGGTAGAAGTTCTATAAGATTTGTACTCAGAAAATTTTTGATAAAAAAAATTATATTAATTATTAAAACACATATTTAAGGAGCTCGTGTTATAATTTGAGACTAATCGGTTTAGCTGTTCTCTAGTAATGTTGGTCACCGTCTTTGAAAACACCATTTTGGAGAAAACGCGTTTAAAGTATGGAATGCACTTCCAAGCACTCTGAAACGCCTTTTCAAAATTGAATGTGACTTCGAAAATATTTTCCCGATCGATATGAAAGTGTTTGTGTATTCTGACTTATATGTGGATTAAGATTAAACCGTTTTCTTAAATTTTAACTGTATATGACCCATTAAATACGAAGTTTAAATAATTTTTTCTATGAAATTTGGTGTTGTAAAAAAAAATCGGATGTTACAAATTGTTGTGGTATAGTCATACTTTAAAAAGGCTTAAAATTGCCTTCAGAATGTTTGCCTGTGAAAAAATAATTATAATCAGAGTAAAATAATAAATATATTTTTTACAGATATTAAACAGTAAAATCTGTTCTTCAGAAACTGATTTGGAGACCATTGTTCAAGAACTTATTTGTTCCAAACAAAAATGCATATTCCAAGTTCTAAATTCATCTCCAAATAATGCAAAATATGATATCAATAAGGTATTTTCTTTCTGGTAATACAATCTTCGCTTTTTATTATTAAATCTTTTTGATTTTTTTTAGACAATTGTGGCAAATGTTTTAACTGCTTTTAGTGGGATGTATGATCTATCACTGAATAAATATAATTATAAATGTCGGACTGATTTTGTTTCAACTCTATTCTCGATGTTTACAGCAAATATTTATTTAGATCGATCAACAGCTGAAATTTTTGTCAACATATTACGACATATACCTTTAACAGACCAAAGGATTGAAGATACTAAATATGCCTTAATGATGCTACATTTGGAAAGCCGCATACACCCTCAAAAGAATAATTCTTCGATTGAGATTGATCTAGGAATTGGTTTTCCAATGCTAGAAGATGTCTCAATAAAATCAAATTATGTTAATAAGATGAGTGTAAAATCTACAGGAGATATAACGAAAACAGGTATGTTTAGAAATTTGTACATTACATTAATTTAGTAAATTATATTTTTTCCCCCTACCAACATGTTAACCATGGTATTTAATTGCTCAGCATGTTGTTGTTGTTTTTACGGTTATCAATCCCCGTTAGGATGGTGGAGGTTATCAGTGATGTCGTCGACGTCACCTAACGGGAGGCCCAGGAAACGTGCCGGTCGGCGTACTGTACGACGTCGTCGACGTGGTCGAAGAACGACCTCTTGATGCTCCTAGGAAGCGGTTCCGCTCCAAACAGATGGCTTCAAGGATGGTTTCTAATAAAACATCCTAGCAGTAACTGCTTGAAATAGTACGGATGATTGACGACCGCTCAAGTAGTTCATGATCCACTTTCTCAGTCCTAAAGGAGAGCAGTTTACTCAATGTACTGCAGTAGCGTTGTGTGGTTGACTGTGTCTGAAGCTTTTAACAAGTCCAACGCTACGAGGATCGTTCTCTCACAGGGCTTGAGGCCACGAACTATCTGAGAGTTTTGTGACGCTAAGTGCTGTSATGGTGCTGTGCACTTTTCGGGATCCATTCTGGTGGTTGGCTGGGCTCAGGTGGTGAGTGAAGGTCGGGAGTAACAAGGCCTCAAATGTATTCACTACTGGAGAGAGGAGAGTTATCGGTCGATAAGATTTCCCTTTGTTGGTTGGTTTCCCATGTTTCACTAGCGGGACCACTTTTCCGACTTTCCACACATCGGGTATTTGAAGATTGATCAGCGACAGGTTGAGGACCTTGGTGAGATATCTTACTCTCGTCGAGCCTAGATATTTTAGCATTACCATCCATCAGGGCCAATGGAGGATTTGGAGGATTTTGATGACACCCTGAACCTCGTCATCGGTAAAAGTAAGTGGCGCGGAGTCGTTTGGCATTTTGCGCAGCCTTCGTTTAACACATCGTTTAGCTCTGTCTACCTCAGGATGCAGTATAAACTGACTGTTAAAAAAAACACGCGGCTGAGCGGCTGTTCAGCTTAGTTTCTTAGATCGCAGCTATCGATACGCGCTCCCGATTCATGAGTGCAACTATCTCCTCGATCTTGCTCTTTAGTCCGTTGCAGATAAATTGAAGTAGACGGGTTTGTTGCGGGTATCCGTGGGTGATCCTGGGGGTAAGGGAGTGACGTGTGGGTGGTATTTGTTGCAGCTGCAAAACCCGGTTGTCGCACTAGGGTGTTGGTTGGCGACGCCATTKTTGTGTGTTGCGGGGCAGACTACTGTAGCATGGGGCGACGTACGACTCACTCCACTCACATGTGGTGCGTAGGCCGGAACACGTAGGGAAGTCACACCAGCCAGTGCAGGAATTGCGCTTAACTGATGTGACGTTCTGACGTATGACGGTCTGACACACGGAAAAGAMTGTGCGAGGAACCAAGAGTTGCTGATTGGTTCTCGCATGATGTTTGGAGCGGGAGGAAGGTTGAGGGGGTAACAAGTCAAAGTGTTAGCTCTGTAACCTGTTTGAGCTCCTGGGGACCGTGGAGGTCCTCTGTTGGCCATTTGTGCAGATTGCACACGATTTTTTTCATATATTTAAAGTTTAGACCCTTAAGAACATATTCTCCAAAGGAATTTTAAAAATTAAAATTATTTTAAGAGCTACATTTACTTTAGTGACGCAGTACCTAGCCCGGTAGGTAGGTAGACTCACTTTTTTAAACGCGTTTTGCTCGAAACTACTTTTTTCCACACGGTACCGGAATTATCTCAAGTTCTATACAACCGATTTACTTGAAATTTTGTATGAACCTTCTTTATATAATCCTTAATTTTTTGTTTTTAATATTAAAAAAAAAGTCCGTAAAGTGTAAAAATGATTTTTATTTTCAGGCAGTTGCCATTTTCAAAAAAAAAAAAAAAAAATGTTTTTCGTGTTCCCTGAAATAGGGACTATAACAGCATCCTTACTGATTAAGAACTTGTTTTGATTTTTTTTTTCAGACCACCAGTAGAGTCAGGATCAATATCACCAGGTTGCGCAATTTTTTCATCTATCAAAAGTTCGCAATAGCCGGGTTAACTTCTTAATTTCAAGAATAATTTCAATCAATAAATTGTTTGTGCAGTGTGCAAAAATTGCCTGCCGGTAAAATGCATTAAGTTCTATTATACCATACCCAGTATCTAGCGATTGATTATTTCTGAGGGTGTAGTTCCCAGACAGTACTAAAGCAGCACCACCGAAAACTTGTTGCTGTAGCGGCAGAATTCTACTGAGTTGACAGTCCTTGGCCGGATAAAAACCCGTGTCCGTTCCGATTACGTAGATCAGACTGTCGTGGGTAAACTTCATGGTTGTCGCTTAAATATTCCATAGTTCTGTGCAATGGTTCGAGAATATTTGTGAGCCATTATACACTCATCTCAAATTGTGATTGAACTTTTTTTCCACACTACTACTCTAAATGAGTCTTATGATTTCTCCAAGTTCGCCCCTAAGCGTAAACGTCCTTCTGATGAAGTAATACATAGTTCTTCTGTACATAAGAGTACTTCTACAGTTGACCTTAAGGGTCAATTTACCTCTATTACCGTAAATTATTCGATTCTTTTGAATTTAAATGTAGTTTATGTTAATAGTTGCTTTATTTATTTAACCCTGTCCTACAGTCATGGACAAAGAAATACGAGACTTATAAAATAAGATATTCAAATAAGTTTTGTGTGTTATTGAGTAAGTAATCGTAACAATTTCCCAAGTTAGTGTATGGCTTGATTTTAACCATTTATAACGGTAAGTCTACGTTATCATGCTGACTTTTTTGTTGTTACTCGTTTCACTCGGAGAGTATAGAAATTTGATTGGTCAATGAAATAGCACACTTTTAGTTATTTGTATAAATATTATTTATTAAATAACAATCATGCAAAAAATACGCTGTTTTAACTAAAACTATAAAATAAAATTAATATATTTTTAAAATGGGCAGAAATGTGCATTGCAATATGGAAAATCGGAGAATATTATTTGATCTCCACAAAAAAGACAAAAATCCAACTCAAATTGCTGAAATTATAAGTTGTTCGAGGAAAATGGTATACAACGCCATCAATTTTGTTAAAAGTGATCTAAATTTGTTCAATAATTATTAGAAAAATCAAGGGTGATCCTAAAGTGTTAAGAACTGGCTCACTGCAGAAAGTATTGACGTCCTGAGCTGCTTAACCCTAAGTCCCGTTCATCGGAATTTTTCTAATAATTATTGAGCGTTGTATACCATTGCCAAGAAAAAATTCAAAAATGCGAAAGAACTTTAGACTTTGTAAGTGCTTAAACGATATACTAATTGTAATATTCTGTGATTTCACGATTTATTATAATTTATATATATAACTTGCAATTATAATATTATATTAATAACTATCGGACTTTCCGTCCGGCACGGTCGGTGTCGAATATAAATCTAATATCAAATGTATTTTCAGACACGTTACATCAAAGCCTTCCTTGTTGCTAAATTATGAAAGTGTATTGTCACTTTCTTTAACAGGTACAGATCTCCACATTCCTTCCTTTTTCTCCAGACGTAGTTTGAGGTTCTTGCTTAGCTTCTGCTGATCCTCAGATCTTGAAGTAGTTCGGGAAGACTCGGTGTCGAGGTAAACTGGCGCTGCAGGACTCAATGGGTTTGGGACCTGTTCATATTTGCTACTTCGCCATTAGCCTGAGGCCAGTATAGGGGCGTAGTCATTAGCCGAATGCCGTTGGTACTGCAAAAACTTTTAAACTCAACGCTTACGAATTACCTTCCATTGTCAGACGTTAGTGTCTCTGGAAATCCCAATCTTGAAAATATCTCTTCCATTTCATCAATAATTAGATGTTATCGACTTAATCACTTTGATCTTCATATATCTGGAGAAGTGATCAATTAGTACCAATATATTAAGCACATTAGGTAAAGGATCCAAAATTTCGGTTGCTAAGCTTTTCCAGGGTCCATTCGGAAAAGGGTGCCGCTCCATCGAAGCTGGCTTTGGTGGGACTGACACTGTAAGGCAATCTTGATAAGTCTTGACGTATTTTTTTAGCATCTTTGACCACACAAGGCCACCAAACTTTGGAGCGTAACCTCCGTTTCATTGCACTTATTCCTGGATGTCCCTCAAGTGCGAGGCCCAGAATTATTTCTCGAAACTTTCGGGGGATTGCTAATTTAGTTCCCCGTAATAGTATATCACCAACTATAGATAGCTCCAAGCGAAATTGATAATATGGGCTTGACATATTTGCTTTCCACGAGTTCTGACTTAGACACATTATTACATCTTGTATCTCTTCGTCTAACATAGACATCTCGGTAATCTCTGATATGGAGAGCGACTTCGGTACCAAAGTGGACACTACTCGAAAAATATGCTGCTCTCCGGCCCAATCATATAGATCAGCGTTGTTTTCTTGGGAAAGCCTTGACAGCAAATCCGCAATATTTTCTTTCCCTGGTTTATATATCACTCGGAAACGATATGACTGTAACCTTAGCAATCATCTTTCGATCCTCGTTGGGGGTCGTGACGTTGGCTTAAAAATGATTTCTAGTGGCTTGTGATCGGTTAGAAGATGAAAGTGTAGCCCTGCCAAATAATAAAACTTTGTCTTTCGGTGTGTAAATATTTCTTTTCCACCGGTGAGAGACTCTTACTGGAAAATGAAATGATCCGCGAAATATTTGCCTTATCGAATTGCACTAATATGGCATTCAGGCCCACCGGACTAGCATCTGCAATTAAACACGTTTTGTCCTGTGGGTTAAAGTATGAGAGCTTCGATACTGCGGCCAATTATTCCTTCAAATGCGTCCTGCTCTTTGCCCCAAACAAATTTCTCCTTGCTCCTCATTAGTTTCCTCAGAGAATCGGTGCTGTCTGCCAAGTCAATTACAAACTTACCCACATATATAGCTAAACCAGGAAAACTAGGTACTTCTTCTTTATTTTTCGGCGCTCTGAATGCTGTGATCACTTTTAC